TAACAAGACTAATAGTTAATAACAAACAGATGAGTCTGCGGGAGAGAAAAAAAAATTACCATAATAATAATAACAATACAAAATGTTAGTAAAGAAAAACGTTGGCAGTGAAAAACTTTTTCCTCCATTTTCAAGAGCGGTCTCGATACGCCCCGTTTTCGTGATGGATTAGTGTGGACGGTAGGCCAACCCGTAGAAATAAAGCTGCGTTTTCAAATTTTTCCGGCGCAGTGTAGACGGGGCCTGATGGTATAATTTCTTAAACCCTGGTCATGTTGGAACGACCCAGTTATACCGGAATCAGAAGCAAAATCAGAAGGAGGATAGCATTCAGCTTGCAATAGTGGCGTTGCTAAATATCACTAACTTCATAAAATGTTTAGAGTAAGTCTTTCATCCAAGCTGCATTCTGTAAGTAGGCTCATTGCTTTTTGTGCGCCAAATACCATCTGGACCATAACTGATAAGTTTGTCAGTGACTGTTTTTTAGATGTTACCTCAAGACGTTTCTGCTAGTGCTAAGGATCCCATTAGATGAAAATGAAAGGTTATACTCGAGATTCAAAAAGGCGGTACGTTAAATGAGCGCACTTAGAAGGGTACTTTTGAAATTGAAAAAACTTAGCCGGAGAATTTTGGATCATAAACATTAATATTCAAATGGCAATGAACAACACAAACTTGTTCGAAAACCAAAAAAATTTAGATAATTCAAAAGGCCGTAAAGTTCGCTTAAAACAAAAGTTCCAACAACTTAAAAGTTTCAGTAAAGGAAGACGTGAAATTAAACTGTATTTAATATTGTAAAAAAAAAAAACAAAAAAAACAAAACAAACTAATATAACCTTATTTTTAAACCCATTTTTCAATATTCATTCAAAATTCATGTACTTGTCAAAAAGAAAATCACTTGGAAAGATTGGGCGCTTTCCATTCGACCAAAACTTCTAGTGTGAAATTTCCTAGAGCGAATGGAACACAATTTTCCGGTTGACTGCACCGCCGGAGTGGAAAACGATAAGCCCGTTTCAAAGTCTATCTTTTTGTCGAGGGTCGAGGGTCGAGGGTAGTAGTAGTTTTTTTTTTCAAATGTCACAAATGGTAAGAGTTGTGAATCGAAAGCTTGTCAATCCCATTTTACATGACCATTCACTACATTGTCGTGTATTTGCTTTGTCATAACATCAAATCTAATTTGGTAAAATTTTGGCGAGACTTCCTGTCGCACGATCAGTCGAACTTTTAAATAAATTTTCTGAAATACATGCCGTAACTACTAGCTATTACAAACGAAGATCCCGGTGGAGGAAACGTTTAAAAAAGGTCTTACCGTCGCTTGCAACTGCCGGTCAATCAAAATTCAAAGTTTTGACAATCATACTTCAAAGTTTACCCGCCCACTTGGGAATATTTTGGCGCCTCTCCACAGACAATTGAAGAGAAGCAAAGTCAGGAACGCGTACGGGCATTTTGTGTTTTGCAGTTTTGAAAATCAGAACGAATGATAGGAAATCAATAGAGGAATTTCTGTCTGATATCGACTGTGATCTTTTACAATATTCAGGGGAATTAAGGACGAAAGGGTTCGCCTCAACATTGTCAGCGCGGTATTTAGCAGAAGAAGATCTTCATTTTCTCCCTGAAGACCACAAAAGATTAGTCTTGAACATGATTGTTCGGCTAACAACGCCCGAGAGAGTAAAAGACAGCTTGAAGCGTCAAACAACGTAAACACAACATTTACAAAGCCCTGAATCAAATTTAAAATCTCCTGCACGAAAAAAGGTCTTCACGTCGGGCTGAAACAATGATCCTTCTTCTTCTTGGGCGACTCACCTCCTTCAATTCTGAAGATTCTAGTGAGCATATAAATAAAAAAACCCCTACAAATTAAAATAAGGCTAAAATGCTATAATAAAAACTAAATAATAATAATAATAATAGCAATAATGA